TGCTTTTGCATAGTTTACCTGAAAGTCCTTTTTTTTTTTTTCCTTTCTCTTCTCAGTTCTGTAGAAACCATTGTTCTTTGTTACCATGCTGTATATAAGCCCCATGTTCTCACCGCTGCTTGAGCTACTCATCACTGAGTTTGTCTTATGTGTCTGGTACAAGTTAGTAAACTCTTTCTTCTGTTAATCTCTCTCTCTCTGCACCCCCCCCTTCCAACTTCAGTTCTAGGACCCCAGCCACAGAACCTAAAGTTAATTTTTTCCTGTTCTAGGCTTTCTAGTCTATTTGTGTAATTATTTTTTTACAGATTTATTTTTATATATGCATACAAGAACTGGGGCACAGGCCAGAGGTGCGGGGGTGGGGCGTGTGAGAGGATTCACCAGAGACACAGTGGGGAGCAGAACAGGTGGATCTACTGAAATACACTGGGGGGAGCAGTGGGGCGAGTCAGGAGAGCTCTGCTGCGCCATGTGGGTCAGCTCCCTGGTCATGGATCGAACTCATGTGACATTGGTTGCCAGAGCTTGATAGTGCTGAGAGTTTAACCCTACGCCACCAGGGATACCCTATTCTTGTAATTAATGTCACCTCACCATCCTTATCATTCTGATCCTTGTCCAGAAGGTGAGTGCAAATTTGTTCAGTCTTGCACTATAGACCCAGCCATGAGTTTAAATGGGGTTAAACTAGGAAGCAAGAAGCCTGCAATCCTGTTTATAGGCCGCTGTTTTAGGTAGTTATCCTCTTATCAGATAAGAACGGGCCAGAGGATGAGTATTGTCAAAACTCTGCCAAGATTCCTTTTATCTGGGTGAAGATAAGTGTGGTAGAATGTTGAACCCACCCCCAAACCCCAGTACCTCACTCCAGTTTCAAATTTCTGACCTATCATTATCTCCCCACAAATAATGACTCCCTTCTAGTGCCTGCCATGTGCAAAGCACTGTGCCAAGAGTTGTTTGGATAGGTATTGTTATCTCTACAGAGGAGGGAAATGAGGCTTAGATAAGTTTTGGAGATCACAGTAAAGAATGCCTGACATGTCAGAGCAAGGATTTGAACCCAGGGCTATCTGCAGCTCAAAATTTAAAACATTAATTCCTTCCTCTTTTCCACCCACAGCCAAGCTGCAGCCAAATCCTGTCCATTCTTTCTTCACATTCTCTTGTACCGTCTTCCTGCGCATTAACACTGTCACGGTCCTAACCTACAGTAGGTTACCTGGCTTACTGCAGTGTCCTTGTTAGTCAGCACTTTTCCTGATCTGATCTGTTTACCTCAGCCAGGTTAATTTTCCTAAACTACATATCTGGGGAATAACCTTGTGGTTCTGATAAAATTCCCAAAGGAAAATGAGAAGACTCTGCAGACTTTTAGAGAACCTCAGAGATGTACATTAGTTACTCATTCCATTTGTTATTCTTGAAAGAAGCTATTATGTAGAAAAAGGTCCACAAGGATTAATCTAAAGAATGTGGTAGAGGAGACAGGTGGTAAAGATCATTATATTAGGTTCATGCAAAATAAATATTTCATGGGCTTTCTTCCAATTTTTACTTAAAAAAGTTAAATGTAAATATTACAAAACTTTTAAAAGTGAACAAATCCTTCAGTCCTTATTAATTTTAATGGACTCTGATCTTAATTGTATTCACACATTTTATTAGTATAAGAATCCCTATTTGAATTGAATTCCATCTTGACTAAGAATGTCCAGGAGTGAGGGTCATGTCCACTCTTTTTTTTTTCCTTTTTAAGATTTATTTATTTATGCATATAAGAACTGGGGTACAGGCCAGAGGTGCAGAAGGTGAGAGGATTCACCAGACACAGTGTGCAGAACAGAACAGGCAGACTGAAATACACTGCAGAGGGGAGCAGCGGGTGAGACAGGAGAGGTCTGCTGTGCCATGTGGGTAGCTCCCTGGCTGGCCAGGGATCAAACTCATGCTGCAGAGGCTGTGGATGGCTTCACAGTACTGTGCTTAACCGCTTGTGCCACCAGGGATGCCTGCCATGTCCATTCTTAACATACTCTCATGTGACTTCAGAAATGACTCTTTAAGCTCTCAGGGTCTTCATCTATACATGAAGATTTGAGTAAGAGCATTTGAGTAAGAGCCTGGCAAGTACTTTAAAACACTACCTTAAAACTAAATTTATATCAATCAGGTAGTTTTTAGAATGCTTAGGGATTGTTAAGATAAAGAAACTCAGAGTTTGTACATTGATTTGAATGTCCCCCAATGCAGGTGTTCAGTATATTGAGTCTACCAAGAATTGCGTAGCTTCCTCAACAGGTGGAAGCTGTAGGAGCATTTAGAATTACCCACCCCCAATCCTCACAATGTTTTACATATTTTCTTCAGATGAGGATGCGAGTGCTGGTAGGAGGAGGAGTAAGAGGAGTAGGGACTGATAACCCAAAAAATGTAAGTACCGTACCTTTACCTCAAATCTTGGGCATTACTTAAAAAATAATCTTTGATCTTAGAGTTTCACTAAATTTCATATATGCCCATCAAAATTCAACTATTTGAATTTTCTGATTTTGTAAATGCCAAATGAATAGAAAGTCTGTTGCTTAATTAACAAGGGAAATAAGCGAAAATATAGAGCATTTTAAGACAATTTTGAGCATATACTGACAGGCTGGTTCATTCATTTGTCCATCCATCCATCCATTCATTCAACAGACATTATGTGCACTTTAAATATGCCTGACATTGTGCTTGCCCACTTCTGCCCCTTATTTGTTCTCTGACTAAACAAAGTAGCCTCATCTGAGGAGGAAAAGTTTATTTGCTAGATAAACACAAAACAAGCACAATCTAATTCAATCCTCAACAAACTTGTCCGAGGACACAAGTAATGACAGTGGAGAGTCAGGTTTCTTAACTCACATTTTTCTGATTCCAGAACCTCAGATCTGATTGTCTGCAAGTAATTTCTCATGCTTGTTATACAAATTAATATATTTTATTTTTTTAAGATTTATTTATTTATTTATACAGGCAGGGTACAGGCCAGATGCATGGGAGGGTGAGAGGATTCACCAGAGAAAGAGCGGGGAACAGAACAGGCAGACTGACAAAATACACTGCTGAGGGGAGCAGTGGGAGAGGCAGGAGAGGTCTGCCATGCCATGCCATGTGGGACCCTCGCGGGCCGGCCGGCCAGGACCAAACTGGCACTGCAAAGGCAGCGGACAGCTTCACAGCGTGGCGCTCAACCACCTGCGCCACCAGGGGAGGCCCAAATAATATATTTTAAGTACTTAGCATGGTATATAATAAATTTTAGGAGAAAAATTCATTAGAACCCCTATGTTACTATACATAAATAACACTTGGCAGTGACTCCCTTCATGGCTCAGGAGTACTGCGAAGATACTGTTTATTAGTTTGGATTGTTATATGTGACAGCCATTCAGGAGTACTTAAATTATTATAATACAAATAAGTGATAAATTCAACTATGTTAATTATCAAGGGAATGATCTGGAATAATCTGAAGGTTGAGCTACTGCTGAACGACCACAAGTAGTAGTAAATTATAAATACCTGTCAAGAAGGGCGCCCAGAGAAAATGGAAATTGTGTCCCATGGATAGATGGAAAGTATAGGAACAGTCTCCCTACACAGGATCCTATAGCACCCAACAATCATCTCTTGTTTCATAGCTGCACCCAACTATGTAGGGTAAAAAATTCAAGATGAGTCACTATCGTAAAGATGTCAGTTCCACTCTGTAAATTCAATGTAATTACTTCAGTTTCAAAAGGTTTTCCCACCACTTCATCAGACTGGTGTTTTCTAATTGTGAAGTATGTGATAGCACCAGTGAATCCCAGGAACATGAGCCAACTGCATACTCTGCTGTGAAAGTGGGTCTCTAAATTAAATGCAACATTACACAGGATACAGATTGATGGATCAAACACATGTGAATGAATAAAGAGGATAAAGAGGATCATTTCATGATTAAAGGGCCAGTTCATCAGGAAGACATATTTATCACCAGCCACACAGCTTCAAAATAAATACATGAACTGACAGAAATTCAAGGAACAGAAAAGTTCATAGTAACAGATTTCAACATTGCTCTCTTGATAACTGATAGAGGATCAGTAAGCATATAGAAGGTTTGAACATAACGTAATGAACGTGACCTAACTAACGTGTAAAAAATGACTCAATAATAGAATATCCTTTTTTGAATGTCCCTCTGGGGGGCAAATGGAATGAATCAGGCTTTTTACACCATTAGCCTCTGTGGCTAGCCTTGATCGTGTCACCGCAGAAGGCCCTTGGGAGCATGGGCTCAGGGCATGTGTGCCTGATTGTGGACAACACCTGGAATGGGGGTGTGGGCATGCGTAAGTGTGCATACCCGAGCCTCGAGGCCAGGTATATAAGGGCGACATCACTCGGCGATGGCTCTGGAGGCTGGCTACGAGAGGACAAGCAGCGTGACAACCGAAGAGGTAAGACCATGAGAGAATGCCACGGAGGGCCTAGAGAAAGAGTAAAGATTGGGGGGTGGAGGGTAGGAGGAAGAGTAGGGGGCTCTGTTGTCTGTCCCCTCCTCCTGTCCCCCCCTCCCCTCCCCTTGCCATCCTCCTTGCCTCTGGATTTTCCCAGCTCTCTGCCTTAGCAGCCGGCAGCCTTGCTTACTTACCACAACACCTTCCCCCCATGTATATGTATGTGGCCCATTCACCAAGACAAACCATATTCTGGGCTATAAAACAAATTTCAGTAAGTTTAAAGGGATACAAGTCATGCAAAGTATGTTCTTTGACCATAAGGGAATTAAATTAGAAACTGGTATTAGAAATCAAGATCTTCAACTATTTGGAAACCAGCCCACTTCTGAATAACTCATGGATTGAAGATGACATCAAAAGGCAAATTAAGATGTAATTTTAATTGAAATAAAATTAAAAGTATAAAATTTTATGAAATGTCAAAATTTCAAGAGAAACTTAGAGCAATGAATAACCTATGTATATATATATAAGATTTTATTTTATTTATCCATATAAGAGCTAGGGTATAGGTCAGAGGTGTGTGTGGGGATGGAGAGGATTCACCAGAGATAGAGTAGGGTGCAGAACAGGCAGATTGACTGAAATACACTGCTGAGGGGAGCAGCAGGCAAGACAGGAGAGGTCTGCTATGCCATGTGGGTCAGCTCCCTGGCCGGGGATCGAACTTCATGCGGCAGTGGCTGGCGATAGTTTGATTGCGCTGAGACTTTAACTCCTGCACCATCAGGGAGGCCCTAGGATCAGGTTCTTAATAGAACCTACACTGCCCCGACTTACCTCTCATTCCTGATTAATTTTATTTCCTCTTTTCTCCCCATCTATTGATCTTCATTTTAGCCCCTCAGACAACTCCATGGAGCACTTACACAGTCCTCACAACCTGGAAATCTTCCCCATTTTGGTCACTCATTGATATCTGCTCATTCTTCAGCTCTCAGCTGAGTCATCACATTCTCAGAGAAGTTTTCCCCATCTTTCCAGCCATTTCAATCCCAGTATAGGTTCCAGTAGTACCCACAACCTTTCTTCTAGCATTTTCCATAATTAAGTAGTGCTGCTGCACCTCCAGGCATTGCTGCTTTGAGCAGCGAAACAGAAAGGGTCAAGAAAGAAAGGCTTGAAACCCCAGATTTCTCTTTGGGAATATCTCTCCTTGTCAGAGATCATTCATATGGCCACTCTAACTGCAAGGGAGGCTGGGAAATGTAGGGTTTTGGTTTGACAGCCTCTCAGACTATGCTAAGAGAAAGAAGTAAGTCACCCTCAGCATCTCCCACAGTGAGTGAACACCCACTGGGCCCCAAGGATTCCTGGAAACAACTTCGAGAATCTGGAGGAGGATCTAGAAGGACGTAATGGCAGTTTAAAAGTATAAAGTTAGGAAATTTCAATGACAGAAATAGCTTGGAAGCATCTGAGGGGCCTCACTTCTCTTAACCTGACTGACCCCTATTCAAATTCAAAGTTCATTTCTAGCTCTCAGGAAAGCCTCCACAAGTCTGTTCCTTTTTCTCCTCCCCAAATCTTTTTTTTTTTGGGGGGGGAGAAGGGGGGTCAGTAATTTTATTGAGATATAACTCACTTATTATAAAACTCACCCTCTTGAGGCATACAACTAAGTGGTTTTTAATATACTAATGGAGTAGCACAGTCACCTGCAATATCAAGTTTCAGAAGATTTCATCACCCCAAAAGAAACCTGGTACCCTTTAGTCGTCACTTCCCATTCCCTACTGCCCCAGGTCCTAGCTTCTACCTTGTTTCTCTGGCTTTGGCCTTCTCACCTGTGTGCAGTCAGACAGTACATCAACTTTTTTTCTGTCACTCAGCCTTGTTACCATGGTTCGTGCCCAAGCAGGGCTGCTTCATTCCTCCTAGAGAAGCCACTGTAAGGAATACCACATGGTTTGTTCACTCAGCAGGTGCAGACACTGAGGTGTTTCCACTTTGGCTATTATGAGTGACACCATGATAAACATTCTTTGTGTGATGCAGTGAAACAGGACAGGCCTCTCTTTCTGCCCCATCAGATAAGCATTCCTATCTGCTGCATCCTCTTGCATTGTAAGGAAAAGGAAGGCCATCCCTAGGAGGATAATAAGGAAGTTAAACATCAGGTTTTAACAAAGCAAGCTGGCGCCCACTCCGAATCTCCCTATGCCTGCATCAAAAGGACACACTGATCCTTGCCCGCCTCCCTTCTGTTTGACCCCTTTGCATAAACACCCCCGCCATCTGCCAAAGAGCAGGACAGTGGTCTTTCAGACACAAGTCTGCTGCCCTCCTCAGTTTGTCGACAGATGAACCTACTGTCCTTCTCCTCAAGCTGTTTCCTTTTATTGGCTGAGGGAAACTGAGGGGCATTCTGTATCAGACCTACCTGTGCATTTCTCTTGGGTATATACCTAGAACTGCTGGGTGACAGGTGACTCTATGTTCACTTTTTTGTATAACCGCCACACTGTTTTCCATTGTGGCTGCACTAATTTAAAATCTTCCTAGTACACTCTGAGCTGGGGTGGTTTTCATTACAATTTTTAAAAAACATTTAAATAGTTGCAATCATTTAAAATAATAACTCAGTTTGAGAATGACTGGCTTTATGGATTGCTTTATGGATATGAAGTGGTGTACCCTGAAGCTATTTAGAATTACCTGTAGGTTTCTTCTTACATGTGTGCTCAGAGCAGGAGAAACAATTATAAAGCTTTTCCTGTTTGTTTCATACCATTTTAAGTTTCTTTGTGTATTTAAAATGTTTATATTATACTCATTTATTAATACATGGCAGTTTTAATTAAAATTATGGAGTTAATGAATAGAGCAGCTCACAGTTGAGGCAATTTAGTACAGTTATTGCTTTTTAATCACAACATCCCCATCAAGTGGATGCATTTACTAGCAACTAATATCGAAGCTCCAAAGGAAGCCTTTAAAGGGCTTACAAATTTCTTGGATTAGGTGACAAGGATTCTGTGAGGCTCCTGATGCCTTCAGGTTCTGTCCTTCTACTAGCTGCTTCCTCCTCCCTGGCCAGGCCAACCCAGCAAGTTCTCAGAGAAAACTGTTGTTAGGAATGTACTCAAGGGGAGCAGCCGCTTAGGAGGCATGCATTTCCTCCCATTCACACACAACTCCTGCTATTCTTTAACTCTCAGTTTAGGCATCCCTGCTCCCACCTTCCCAGGCACCCTCTTTACCTCCTTCATGCCAGATCTGTAAACCCCAGGTGGCATGGGAATGGAAATAAGAGGTCCTTTTCCCGTGGTGAGATCACATGATAGCTAACATGTCTGGGTGCTTTCTGTGGACAAAAGTGTTCATTTTAATCCTCATGACAGACCCCATCTTGCACAAAGCTATCACTGCCTTCGCTGTTCCCACTTGAGCTAATGATGATGCTGCAGTTTCTGAGCATTGAAACCTTCATACCTGTAGTTCTCTTCAATTAGCGCCCGTTTCCACCCTGACTCCACTTAGCAAAATCTTAACCCAGTTTTTAAGTCATTTCAACCACAAACTCTCTGAAGAGGTTCTCATTCAATTCTCAGAATTTTTCTTTCCCACCTTTGCAGCTGTTATATCACTTACTTTATTCCAATTTTTTGAGAACTTGTGTTATTTCTGATCATATGCAAACCTCCTCAGAGAAGACGGACTGTACCTAACATATCTTTGTAATTCCTGGGGCCCAGGTATATAGCAGGCATTTTATATTTATGGAATAACAAATACACCAACCCTGTCTCTACTGCCATTGTTGCAAGAAAACAAACAACCCATACCACCCCCAGCCACTTAAATGCCAGGGACAATCAGAATCCAGATAAAACACTTAATATTTCCTCATTCAGGCAAACAAGCCCAAATGGCTTCAAGGTGCACCAAACTAAAGCTCTGAAAAGTCTGGACATTTAGTCACCCCAAAGGTAAATTAGAGTGATTCTTCACAAAGGTAAATAATGGTGACCGCAGGCGAAGCTTGAAAAACTCTGCAAAACGCCTCACGTTCCCTATGGCTCCTGTGAGCCCTGGGGTTGTCAGCCCAGAAAGGAAAATGAAAAGAATTTGACGTCTCCAGAAATTTAAGATTTTAATTTTAAATTTTAAAATAGTAAGCAATTGGGAGTTACTGCACAAGATTAAAGTTAGAAATCTAGTTTCCCCATGACCTAAAGCAATCATTTTTAACTTTTTTTCTCCCAATAACCGTAAGCTAGACGACATACGCCCATCCTCATTTAGGAAAGCTACAGCAAGGGAATGAAATTAGCACACTGAAGTAATGTCAGTTCCTTCCCTCGCTAACCTAGTCAGTCATAATAACTAAACAGCACCACCTAATGCCTTGATTTGGACTCCATAGTTTAATTCCATCAATTTTCTCAAATCCACCTGCCTCCACATCCCCCCCAACACACACCCCCCAGGCCACAACATCATCTCCTGCCTGGGCAGTCAGAGCCTCGTCACTAGTCTCCCCGCTTCCATCCTGGTCCCTCCAATAGATCTTCCCTGTTGTCACCACAGTGACTTTGGAAACAGCATTGTGTCTTTCGCTCTAAAATGACCCTGTGTGCAACTGCTTACGAGAGAACAGCCAGGTGAGACAGCCCATGGGAACCTTCACTTTGCAAGTGAGGACATCCCAGACAGAAAACAATAGTGCAACCATGCACCTCTGGTCCGACAGAACTGAGGTTAGAATTAGGAATTCAGTATAGCTTGGATGGCCATTTCAGTGAACCTCACTGCTCCCCCAGAAATGTACCTTATCCTCAGTGTGGTCATGGAAGACAAATGCAGTAATTTGGATTGGACTAAAATCTGCTGGTGGGGCCACAAGATATTAAAATAGAGGCAAGAGAGCTGAGAACCCAGCCTGAACCAATGCATGAAGATCCTGGTGTCTCAGGATCCACCTTCTCTAGCCAACCAGAGGGCAGGGGCGGCATTCCAAATCCAGGACAATGTGATCCACATGGGGAGCATAGGATTTCACTGGTTGGATGTGCAGGATTTCTGTCTTCCACGGTTTCCCATGCACCTGTTGAAGAAGAACAGCAATCCGAGTTTTTGCAAATTCCGCCCACCTTTGCCACTCTGGCTTGGTGGCCGCTGACAGTATTTTCCTGCTAGAATCCTTGGTAGCTCCATTTCCCCCTTGGCTGGTGATAAGCTCCTTCTCCTCCACGGTATTGCTTCCAGGAGAATGGAGATTCTTGCAAGGGAAAGATTCCACATTTTGGTGGATATGCAAAATGCCCCCAGCGTCCTCACGTAGTACTTGGCAGGCAATGGGCCAACCTTCTTCAGAGCTGGGGATCAGTCCCAGGTTCACCCTGTCGGCAATGTTTGAAAGTTTCAGTTTTCTGTTATCCCCAAAGTGTATCTGGCACCGATCGGCCACCCCGTTGATCTCCAGGTTATTTCTTAGAGCAGCTACAGCATGGGGGTTCCACTCACAGGCGTGGACGAAGGCAGCCCCAGCGTGAACTAGAAAGGGCAAAGTAAAATAACCAATCCCGGCATAGAGATCCACCAGCACTTCTCCGGCACAGGGCAGCGCCGCCACGCGCAGCTTCTCGGTGACGTTTCCGAAGGAGAACATGCACCGGGTCACGTCAAACTCATATCGGATCCCGTTGTCCACGTGCTCCACCCAGCCGCTGTCGCCCAGCAGCAGGGTCACCGCCGGCGTTCGCGCGCCGTCCGGCGATACCCTCCCTCGCTTGGCCAAACGCCGGCCCCCAAGCGCCGAGGCCACCGTCTCCCAGAGTTCTGGCTGCAGGCCCTCCCACTGCCTGGCTTGGAAACAGTCCTCGCCGAGCAGGAGCAGGTCACCGTGTCGCTGCCAAGACCGGGGCAAATCGGCCTCCAACTGCGCCGACCACGCCACTCCCCGGCCGGCCGCCCAGCGGCTCACCTCCAGGCACAGCCTGCGGGCGGGTGGGCAGCCCCGGGCCGCCTTGGACGGCGCGGGCTCCGGGAGCCGAGCGAGCGCGCAGGAGCTGCCCGGGGCCACGCGCTCCCGCAGCTCGCGCAGGTGCTGCTCCGCCAGGGTCGGCCCCAGCACCGGCAGCGCCACGGAGCCGTCCCGCAGCCTCTCCACGCGGTGCCGCCTGTCCAGGAGCCGCTGCTGCTCGAGATAGACCCTGTACCTCTGCGCGAACCGCGGCTCCGTCACTACCGCGACGACGGCCGCAGACTCCCCACCGCCCCGCTCCTGCCGCTGGCCCCACATGCGCCCGGACGCCCCCGGGAGGCGCCCGCCCCCCAGAAGCCGCTGTCCCCTCTCCGCGCGTCACAGCTTCAGCAGGTGCATCAGCGCGCACGCCGCCCTGCCGCGCCGGAAGTGACATCGCCGACTGGCCGGCACTAAGCGATGACATACTAATGGCGTCGTCCCTGCAGTGGTGAAGCTGCCGCCGCCATCTTTGTTGTGGTCCGCCATTCCTTGCTGCTACCCGAGGAAATGAATGACAAAGAATTCTCTGGCTTCTAATTAGATGGTGCCCTCCTCGTGCATACTCTTTAATGCTGCTTCAGAATCCAGAGAGCGGGCCTCCCCGGTGCCGCAGCGGTTGAGCGCTGGGTTGCGAAGCTGCTCGCGGCCTCTGCAGCACCGGTTCGATCCCCGGCTGCTCCCCGGCCACCTGAGGAGGGTCCCACATGGCGCGCAGACCTCTCCTGCCGCCCGCTGCTCCCCTCAGCAGTGTACTTCGTCCTTCTGCCTGCTCTGCTCCCCGCTCTGGCTCTGGTGAATTCTCTCACCCTCCCGCGCTTCTGACTGTACCCAGTGCTTGTATAAATAAATAAATAAATCTTAAAAAAAAAAAAAAGAATCCACAGAGCGCAGTGAGCCTGGAATAATGGGCTGAACCCGCGTCACAGCGCTGTCTAGTCATCAGAGACTGAAACGTCAGGCGGCGTCCGGCTTCCTTTCCCTTGCAGAGATGGTCGCGCGGTGGCCCGTCCCGCTGTACAGACAAGAAGCCAGAAGCATCGGAATTCTGGCAAATGATACCACCTCCCCCAACAGCAGTCTTCACCAGTGAAGTGAGAAGTTTTTTAACTTCCCCAGTTTGTTGCTATAACAATTAGGGATGTTATATATAAAGTGCTTTGAACAGTGACTAGGAAAGAGGTATATTACAGTGTAACCAGTTGAATTGCTTGGATCGCAAGTTTTAAATACCTGTTGAAATGCTTTGCCATAGCGAATGAGGACAAAGGGAAATTCCCCTTTAATTAAAAATAGGAGTTGGAATAAGCCCTACCCCTTCTACTTACTGTCAAGGTATCCTTTAACAGAGTTAAAGCTTAGTCTCAGCGCTTTGCTCAGCTGAACAATGCTGGGGGACACAAAACAGATAAGAAAGAGAAACCGATAGAGTTGCCAAGGGAACGTGACCCTGGGTCCACAGGACCTATAGGGGGCTACAGAGAATTCCCAGAATGTGAAAACTGGGCAAACAACTCCAGAGGACACCTCCTGTGGGTAAGGCCCACCGAAACCTGATTCCCAGCAGATACAGCAATCAGCAGAGACCCACTCCCCTAGTCATGAAAAATCTGATGAAAATAGGTTATAAAAGGGAACCCCAAATCCTCCTTCCCTCACAGATCTTGCCTTCTTGCACCCTGCTCCCTAGAAGGGTATTTTCTATTCTCCACTCTGCATCTGGTAAATTCTTTCACCCCTCCCACCAAGCTCCAGCCTCACCCCATATTGCACAGCCACACTTACCTTCCCTGTTTCTATAGATCAGGGTATAGAGATCAAGAGATGTTAACATTAGTTGATGTCTCAAATTCATGCACTCTATGGGAGCCCCCTGGCTATTACTAAAACACTTACTTTTTTGATACCTATTCAGTATCAGAATTGTTCTTTTCAGTCTCATCTCTCTGTTACAGACTCAGACTCCATGGAGAAAGCAGAAAGCAGGATAGAGTAGAAGACCTTCTTGGTGCCCCCATATACTCTTGGTACTCACCATTCCTGTAAATGCCAACCCAATGACGTCTAACTTCAAGAACTTGGGAGTATTTGCCTGAGGACATTCTCTGCTCACCAGAAATAGCTTAGCACATGTCCAGGGCAGGTCAGAAGTGCTGGAAATCAATGCTTTCCTTGCCCTCCTGAGAAAGTCCTTTAACCAGTGACTGATGATATTGATGGATAAATTTCCCAGTTTCCAATTTCCAGTTTTCAACCTTAGCTGGAAAACCTCCAAAATATGTTCTATATTGTCTCCCAGAATTCGCTCAGAACTCCAGTTTTTCAAAATACTTTTCTGTGTCCAGCATATTCAACACCCCAGTCCCCGTTTTTCTCATTAATATACAAACATGCTGCACTTACCATCTTTTACAAGTTCTCTCTTGACACCTCATTCCTACTGCTATTTCCAAGTTCATATCCCAATCCATGATATCACCACAATCATTTATCACTTTGATACCTCAACTTGGTGTCTAATAGTAACTCATATTAATATGTCTAAAACATTTCTTTTTGCCACCACCTACCATAGATATAATTGTGCCACCCATTTACTCAAGTATATAGTTTAGAAACTATCTTTAATCACCTCCTCCCTCCTTTTACTACCTTCCCATAAGTTGGATAGTCAGATGCTGTGTATTTCTATATTCTTTATATTCCATAATAGTGTATATTAAATTAGACTGTCTCTCTCCCCAGCCATCTCTGGCATGTAGATTCCTCCAGCTGCCTCCTCGCTGATCTCTTCACTCATAGTTTAATCTCCATATAACAACCACGATGAGAGTTTTCAAAACATACTTTTTGATCCTCTTCCTACTGAAAAACAGTTTCTCTCTACCCATTATTCAAAGAATAAGTTGTCTTCCCTGCCCACCAGACCAAAATTGATCTGGCTCATAAGCCTCAGCCTGAGATGGAACAATTCCCCTGATTATAGACACCTTTCACTTCCTGAAATAAACCAAGTCTTTCTATGTGCTCTTTCCTACTTGCTGTTCCTTTGTTTGAAGTGCCCTTCTCCTAGATGATGCAGTGGCTGGAGGTTTGAAAAAAAATCTTCTCTCTAAATTGTTACTCTTTCCCTCCCCATTATGTCTACTTCACAATCTCTTCATTTCTTTTTAAACCTTTGTTTGCTCTTTATTTGTATAATCTTACATGTCCGTCTCCCCCAGTAGTAATGTTCTCTTAGACAGGGAGTAGTCTTTTTCCATTTATTGCTATAACCCTGGCATTTTTTGTAGTATCTGGTCATAAGTCATTACCTGACAAATACCAGTTAATAAGAGGATGTCTGCTTTGCTCTCTAAGAGACCTGAACATTTCAGTACCCATTCAAGCAGTAATCCATTATACAAATGTAAAAGTTATAAGAAATTCAGACAAAGGGCCTCCCTGGAGGCACAGGGGTTAAAGTCTCAGTGCTATCAGCTATCACCAGCCACTGTGGCATGAGTTCGATCCCCAGCCAGGGAGCTACCCACATGGCTCAGCAGACCTCTCCTGTCTTGCCTGCTGCTCTCCTCAGCAGTGTATTTCAGTAGATTTGCCTGTTCTGCTCCCCACTCTGTCCCTGTAAATCCTCTTACCCCCTACACTTCTGGCCTACACCCGAGTGCTTGTATGCATAAATAAATAAAAATAAATCTTTTAAAAAATTCAGACAAAGATTGATAAACTAAAATATACTTTGCTCTTTTACTTATGCTGATCAATGGAGGTTAAAAAGAATTATGGTACAACCTTTGGGCCTCCCCGGTGGCGCAGCAATTGAGCGCTGGGTTGCGAAGCTGCCTGGCAGCCTCTGCAGCGCCGGTTCGATCCCTGGCTGCTCCCTGGCCACTGGAGGAGGGTTCCGCATAGGCTCAGAGCTCTCCTGCCGCCCGCTGCTCTGCTCAGCAGTGTACTTCAATCCTTCTGCCTGTTCTGCTCCCCTCTCTGGCTCTGGTGAATCCTCTCACCCTCCCGTGCTTCTGACTGTGCCCAGTGCTTGTATAAATAAATAAATCTTTAAAAAAAAAAAGAATTATGGTACAACCTTTAGATGAAAATATTACAATTATTATGATGGTCATAAGAAATCTTAATGAAATAGAAGGTTACTCAATATGCTATATTAAATTAATTTCTGAAATACGAAGTAATGCTTAGATGATGGTGTATAATTTATTTATTTAAACAAATTAATGTGAACAGTGATTCCCTGGATGGGATGCAATTATAGGTATTTCCATACAGATGAGTAAAATATTGGTTAAGGTTAACTGATTTTTCTTTTACCACACATTGTAAAAGACTCGATACAAATTTATCCAATGTCAAAAAAAAATCTTATATGAAAACCTCTCACTTTACCTTATCAGTAGATGGATGGATTGGATCTCTTTTTATGTTCTACAATAAAATCCCAGTGTGGATTATCTTTATATGGTGATGCTTGTGTTCTTACTGATTGATTTGTAGTCCTTTAAATGTAGTTCCTCCATTAATTCTTTGATCTCCTGTGCTTTTTTTGCTTCCCTCTTTAGGGACTCAATTTCATTCTTCTTACCATTGTTTTCCCTCTTTAGGTACTCAATTTCCTTCTTCTGATCATTGTTTTCCTTTATGAGTTCTGTCATTTTTTTAATCACGGCAATTTTAAATTCTCTTTCTGGAAGGCTCAGAAGTTCTTCCAAGTTACTGTCGTTGCAATCTGGGGGGTGGTTTTCTTTTTGTGGTGTGCTTTTTTCCTGAGGAGTTGTTAGGTTGCGTGTGGTTCTTCTACTCCCTACTGTCTGTTTTCTAATTTGTCGTATGCCTTGGGACACTGTGTTGCTGGGACTGGCCGGCATCTTGGGTGAGCTTCTCCACTCCCCTCTGGCTCCTCCAGGAGCCATCTGTTGGTTTCAAGCAGTCTTTACTGAAGAAAGGTCCCTGTTCTAAAATGCCGATGTGGGGACACACTCCCCTGTGTGCTTGGTCTGCCCCGGCGGTGGGTTCCCGCTCCCCCTCTGGGTTTGGACTGCAGGCCAGAAGGGGCCTGGCGTGGGCGAGCTTTCCCGCTCACCTCTGGCTTCTGAGGGAGCCTTCTGCAGGCAGTCTTTACTGAAGAAATGTCCCTGTTCTAAAATGGCGATGCGGGACGCACTCCCTGCGCGTCCGGTCTCGGGCACACTCTTCTGTGCGCCCGGTCTTCCCTGGCCGTGGGTGCCTGCTCCCTCTGTGGGCTCAGACTGCTGGTCTGAAGG